TAGGTCCGCCCGCTGCCCCTGTGAGCCGAGTGGGTCATTAGGTCCACCCAAGTGCGTCGTTAGGACTTGCTTGAAGTCTTACCACATACAAGCTCGCATTCGAAATTTTTGGTCGAGCATTTTCTAAACTTTTTTTCTCTAAAAAACAAGGTAGACATAGAAAAAATATATCAAAAGATGCGCAATAAAAACCTCTCTCTAATGGACAAAACTGTTTTGAAAAATCTCCTATAGTAGAAGAGAAATAAATAGACAAAGTCAACGCGCATTCCTTTCCGAACAACCTAATAAAATAGGAAATTCATACTAAGCAAGATTATTACTAAAACAACGTAGATAATGGCTCATACGGACTAGCGAGGCGACTATGTATCTGGTAAACTCGTCCACTATCTCCGAAACTCGTCCAGATGCCTTAAATTGAATAGGGTCTTATTTCATGTTCTTGCACACCTTTTTCCTACTTTTTTTGATTAGTGCTTCATTTGCCACCTGTTCTAACAAATCTGACCCCTGAAACCTGCCAAAGTCCATCGCGGGCGCTGTCTTTAAGGATTTTCTTTTGGTTATCAGGGAAGTGCTGCAAATGATGCAAATATAGGTTGGAAGGAAAGTCTTGTCACTGTTGTGACTTTTTTCTTTTTTATTTTCTAACTCAACATACAGTGGGAATTAGTCAACAATATACTCGTCATAGTGCTCCACCTAATGGGCAGGTAACCATTCCCCCTCTCCCAGAACTGAGGAGGCTGCGAGTTAAGTAAGTCTCTCGACTGATGTCATCAAAGTTGCTGGAAGTTTTCTCAGAGAAGAAAGCCTCCAGCAGGCGGAGCAGATAGCAGTCGTAGGGGACTACGTCAGGAGAATATGATGAGCGGGATCTAGTCTCTCAGCGTTACCTCTACTACGATTGAGGTGCCCCGAAGCTAGTCTCGGTCATTTTTCTCCAACAAATTCCACCAGGTTTCAGGAGCTGAGCGACATAAATGGTGGCGGTCGTCTGTTCTTACAGGGCAGCTCGTTCTGCAGCATCCCCCTCGCGTCCCAGGAGCAGCACAGGAGAACCTTCTCGGAATACATGCCCGGTTTGGACTGCTAGAATGGATCTTCTCCTTGAGAGAGACACACGGTACTGTGTGGATTGAAGGACCCATCTGCTATCTCCACTAAGCAGTCTCCTAGAAACTCCTTTTGACGAGGCGGAGAAGGGGAGACTGACCAAGGGGTACCCGGGTGCGCAGCGTGCCATCGGTCAAGGTATGAGTGATCCATCGAGCCAGTACTTTTCGGTAGTCAAGGGCTTACAGGCGGTTGACGACTGTCAGTTAGGTACATCCGAGTCTTGTCGCAAGACTGCGGGTGGTAACCTCCGGATCCTCCTTGACAGCTTCGAGAATGGTGGATCTTCCACTCCGTGGGGCCGTCCCAACCGAGGTTTGCCTTCGAGGGTCGTGTCTCCTTTCGCGAAGCGAGCGAACCAAAGATGGACAGTCATGATGGTAGTGGTGTCCTCCGCCAATGCACTGCCGACAGTTGCCACTGCTCCAGTGCCGCGGGGCCACTGATAGAACATGATGACCCGAAGATGCTCCTGTGAAACTGACATCGTAATTAAACCCAGGAAAGAGCAGGCGCCCTCACACATCTCTTGCAGGAAAGCTCCTAGAATGTTCTACGGGCCTGGTGGGAAGGACACCTCGCCACTAGCACTTCGTCGTCTCCTATCCATCCATTGACTGCCCACATTACAAGGTTATGTCAGAATTCCAGATTTGCATAAAAGGCTCCTGGACTCATGATGCTTACTCCGATGTAAACTTGAATGGCCATAGAGACCGTTTGACTTCTCCTCGGCAGTGTTGGAATCGCTTTGGCGTGATTATGCAGGGTGGTAGCACCAAGTGCTGTTAGGACGGCACTACCTAGAAAGTGAGACACATGTCCACTCCACTAACCCGAAGTAGTTTCTTTCAGATACCGTTATAGTCCAACAGGCTCGAAGGCTACATCAGGGCTTTATGGCGTCAGTGATGATTCCCTTCAAACGAATCGGGGAGTTCCATGTTCTGAGACGGCGGCGGAAAAGGCAATGTCCGAGTGAGGCTTCTCACCAGGGGAAC